TACTCCTATCTGAAAGGCTTGAATTAAAAGCAACTATTGTTTTTGAAAAGCACTTAAGATACTAAGGATTCCTATGTTCTGTATCAGCTGTCCAAAGCAATAAAATGCTTGTTAAAGTGCTTTACAATTGCAAGCATTTGTTATCTTCATAAAAAATGCTTTAAACTATCAAGCGCTATAAAAAGTGAATTACATATTACACACAAAGCACTTGTTGATAGTGTTCGAAGCATTCTTCAGGGACTTGAAGCACTCTCCAGGGACTTGAAGCACTCTTTAGAGACTTGAAGCACTCTTTCGGGACTTGAAGCACTCTTCAGGACTTGAAGCACTCTTCAGGGACTTGAAGCACTCCAAGGACTTGAAGCACTTTGATATTTTAAATACTGCTAGCGATGTTTCAAATTTAAACTAGTTTTATTTTAAATCTTCGCAGTGACTGAAGTTGAATGGATAAGCTGCCGGTTTCAGAAGCGAATTAAGCACTTTAAAAAGCTTCGATTACTTTTTAAAGCAATATTACATCCCTGCTATCTTTCAGAAGGATATATGTTACATTTTCTTAATGTGTTTCTGGTTTTTATAAATATTAGTAGTGTTGCGAATTAACCTGCACACCTTCTAGTGCAACGAATCTCGTTAGGAATGGGACGGTGTTCGGTCCCGCGATTGCTATTTATAGGCATCAGGAACGACTTTCGCAATAATTAGATGCGTGAGACGAAGCGGCAGTTCTGGATCCACCGCTATCGAGTGTGGCACGCGATTCCATAAATTTTCCAACGCAACTAGGCGTATCCGCGCCGTCTGGATGGATTGATTCCACGGCTGGATTGAATCGATTTCGCCGGAATCTATTCCTCTCCTCTTTTTTTATTTCCGCGTGGCAAAGCGCTTACTTTGAATTAGCTTAATATCTTTAAAATAGAATAAAAAATGCGGGAGCTAATGAAAAAATGTTTTTTTTAAAGAAATTTAGTGAAAAAGGCAATTGATTGATTAATCTTTGTCAAAGGTGATATTAGTAGGTCACGAATACAGGATATTTCTTTGAAGGAGCCGGTATAATAAATGTGGCGATCAAAATTAAATGACTACGGTTTGGCCAAAATTAAATGACTATTGTTTGGTTATTAAAAAATAAAATCTGATCGATATTTTTACCATAAACATAAAAAATAACTATTTCCTGTCGCCTCTAGCAAAATTTTTAAAATCAGCTTTTATTTCTCCCCTATATAAGTCAGTGGCGGCTCGTCGTGTGAAGCAACTGAGGCCAGGCCTCACTGTAAAACCTATTACATTTACCAAAATTCAAAATAACATAAAATAATTGTTTGAATATTGATTATCTCGCCGCTCGCTGTTTCCATCAGCGCGGCATTAAATACTGTTACTCCTCACTAGTCCCCACCACAGTGAGGCCAGAAATTATTTGCTTGCAGGCGTGTCGCACTTGCCTACAATATGCTACAGTTCCCCCTCCAAGCGAGGCGGTTAAAATAACGTGATTTAAGAGAAAACTGAGGCCGGCTCAAAGCTGCTTATAGTTTTAGCACAGCATAAGAAATGTTTCTTATGCTGTGGTTTTAGTGTTTAAGTTTGCGGTTAATGCACGCGTCGCATAGTACGCGGGTAATGTTGATGTCAGTGTGAGGGGCTTTAAGGATAAAGACAAGGCAGGTATTAATTTAAAGTAAATAAAAAACAGCTTTCTTACAATAAAACAAAGACTAAATTTAACGTAATTTAATATTTATTACATCAAATATACAGTGTGTCTACTTAAGTTGGAACCATATGGAAAACTTTTTTATTAATGGTTTTATGAAAAAAAGTTATTCTTCGTAAAAAGTTTTGCATGGTCTAAAATCTAAAATGCAACCTTCAGTTATCAAAATTTGCCAGTGATATACGAGGTATATCAGAAATTATGAATTTTGCTCAGAGTAAAGTACCCTTATTTTTGACAATACAGAAGAGTGTTATAAAGAAACGTTATTTTGAATTAAAAGTTATTTTAAAATATGCAATTACAGCCATTTAGCATGAAGATTCAGGTTTTGTGATTATTTACGTTTTACATTATAAATTATTTGTATTATTGTTATAATTAAATTGCAAGGTTGTTCATAAACATTAACAAATGGAAAGGTTATCATATTTTTAACAGATAAGAGAGATAAATACAAATAATTTATAATGTAAAACGTAAATAATCATCAATAATAAAGGTACTTTACTCTTGAGCAAAATTCATAATTTGTGATATACCTCGTATATGACTCGGAAATTTTGATAACTGAAGATTGCATTTTAGATTTTAGACCATGCAGAATTTTTTATGAAGAATAACTTTTTTTCATAAAACCAATAATAAAAAAGTTTACAACTTACGTAGACACTGTATATATCTCACAATATTGTTTTATCTCTTGAAACACTTTTTTCAAGACGTAATGACGTAAACTATGCTCTAACAAATTAAAATCTCTAATCAAAGTATTTCTGAATTAAGAAACGAAGAAAAATTGAAATATATTTTTAATTATGGGGAAAATATTACTGGACTACCAAGTAAACAGGTCAAAAGTTGCGACGAATTAGAAATATTTTCGAAATATATTTCCCCTTAATTAAGTTAACGAGTAGGTACTCGTTTTGGGAATTTACATGATTTAATTTTTTTTGCTTTAATAGATTCCTCAAAATTTTCCGAATATGCAAACAAATATCCTGAAAAATCGTTTGAATGTTTATTACAAATGTATCCAAACGTTTTTGAAATAGATAGGTTGAAAAACGAACTTAATATTTTGTACAGAGACGAACAATTTCATAATTTAGAAGTTCAAAAAACGATAGACATATTATACAAGGAATTTAAAAAATGGTATTTTCGGAAACATACAAACTGTTTTGCCCTGTTTTAACAATTCCTGCAACAAGTGTCTCGGTAGAAAGAAACGTTTTGTGTCTTCAGCGGATTAAGACTTAGAAATACGATGATACAAGAGCGCTTAAACAACTTATCGGTGATGACGATAGAAAAAGAACTATTGCAAAGTCCTAGTGCCGATCCTCAAGTTTGTGAAGATATTAAAAGTAAATTTGCAAAGAACCCCGCACAAAACATATTGAAATTGAACACCGGTCAATTTGTATGAAACTTCATATTTTGATAGTCTTCGTCATGCTGATGTCTCAATGGGCACGAAGCCCTACAACCCCATCCAACCTCTTAAAACCACCCCCAAAGGTAGGGATAATGAACTTGACAGATTACAGGTCAATTGGCTTACCGTAATATTTCACTACTGTAGTCGAACCTACAGATATTTATACCATAACTGGGATTTAGAACGAGCCCTACAACCCCATTAACCCTCCAAAACCACCCCCAAAGGTCGGGGGGATGCACTTGACAGATTATCGGTCAATAAAACTACCGAAATATTTTACTATTGTAGTCAAACCTACAGCTACCCAAACTGTAACTAGGCTTAAGACTACTTTCTCCAAAAAACTTAACCCCCCATCCCTCTCCCTCCCCACCAACTACCAAAGCCTGTCATATGACTTTTCCGTGCATACTGGTTGTATAACTGTTTAATTTCATCTCACAACCACCTAAACGATCACTACTCTATACTCTCCGACCCCAACCCCCGACAAATGAACCACCCACCCCCAACCCAAATCTCACGGTTGGGGTCGGACCAACCCCAGTTCTTATTGAAGCTTGACATAACATTTCTCTGCTTACAGTTTATGAAACCATTCAATCTTGAATTCCATCCTACACCCATCTTATTGTTTAATACCCTTTAACCCACAAAAAGTTCCAAAACATGCCATAAGATTTTTTGCTGTTTGTGGGATGTGAAACCCTGGCTGTGCAGTAGTAGAATATTTCGGTAGTTTTATTGACCGATAATCTGTTAAGTGCATCCCCTGACCTTTGGGGGTGGTTTTGGGGGGTTAGTGGGGGTTGTAGGGCTCGGTCTTAAACCTAGTTATGGTATAGGTGTCTGTAGGTTCGACTACAGTAGTGAAATATTATGGTAAGCCAATTGACCTGTAATCTGTCGTTCATTACCCTGATCTTTGGGGGTGGTTTTGGGGGGTTAGAAAAGGTTGTAGGGCTTCGTGCCCATTGAGACTTTTGATCAGCACGACGAGAACTATCAAAATACGAAGTTTCATAAAAATTGACCGGTGTTCAATTTCCATATGTTTTGTGGGGTTCTTTAAAAGACAAACGAATAAACCTGTTTTCTAAACATTCACTATGTTTTTAAAATATTTTGTTAAAAGTGGAGGCAAACGAAAAGCCGGCGGCGTTGTTTTATATGTAAATAGATAAGTTGGCTGGCTACCTTATGAAAATTTTTAAAAAATGTTTTTATATTTCTTCATATTTTTAATATTCATAAACCAAGTAGGAGCAATTTTGTTAATTATTAGGTAAATATATCACTTTGTTTTTTTTTCTGTTACTTAATTTTATTGTAAATACAATTTTTAAAGTTCTGATATTATTATTAATAATATATTTTTTTAATTTACGGTTATAGTAGGGCTATTGGCGACGATCTCTATAGTAAAAAATGACGTGGAAATTTATTCCTATTTATTATTTGAGAGTGGATTAATAAAATATCCAAATAGTTGCGTATTATTTTTGATAAAATCTGAATGAAAATCCTGCTCAGTTTTTCTATAATATTGTGAATGCAACTAAAAATCTTCAGATGTATTTAGTCGTTTGACCTTGAAAATTTAAAAATTTTTGCCTGCGCTTTTTTTCCTTTCTTGCCCACCTAGTAAAAAAGCCACTGGTCTCACCTATTCACAATGTCACGAGCCGCCACTGATATAAGTGCATTGACTAAAATAATGTTGTAAACCTAAACAATAACCATATAATGATTTTTTTTATGTATTCTTAATTTTTTTATACTACGTCACTTTTAAACCCTCTTTGTTTTCGTTTTCAGTCGTGGTACTAGACACCACGGGCGAATCGAGTCTGGAATGGACGAGGTATCCCTACGGACCCCAAGCAAGTACTCCAGGGGTAAGTACCACTAAAAAAAATTTACATAATTAACTACCGCCTCCGTAAAGATCCAAAGAAACGCACACTCTTGATTTATACTAGCGGCAGTTGTTACCAATTATCCTTTGTCTGGTCTCTTAAGAGCTTATGAATTATGCCCCTTCCTCCGCCCTTGAAAAATGCAGCAGAAGCGTCTGTCTTTTTACATGCCCCGTCGCAGGACTTCGTCTGGGACGGTAGTCCCGTATTGTAGTTTTAATTAGAGAATCGTACATCATTCGCTTCATTAAGCCACTGTTTAAAGTTAAATGATTTATTTGAGGGCGAGTGAATTAAACGTGGAATCTTAAAAATTTACTTTCCTGTAAGATTCGTATAGTTCTCGATACTAAAACATGCACGTCTTTGTTAGTACCTACGTAAACGACGAGGTGTTAATAGATATTTCATTATCGTCTACCCGAACACCTGTAAAATATAGATTTATAGCCGTCGGACAACGCGGACATTGTTTTCTTTGTTATTCAAATTACAGTTTAACGATTCCTAAACAGAAAAATGTAGTTATACATACAAGAGCTATGTAATAAGTTATTATGATTCAAATGTATCCAAATGAATCCATTTCAGGTCCTGTATCTAAATAACCTATAACCTTCATGAAATATTTATGGCGTTTTTCATAAACTGGTATACATATTTATAATATTTTCAACGCACAACGTATATCTCCTGAAGAAATATTGTTGCCCCAAGTTGATATACCTACTTCGGAAGATAAATAAATTTACAGTGGTTTGGAAAAAAATATATGTAATTGACTGCACAAGGTGGTTTTAAAGTTTAATTTTAACTGCTGCGAATTTATATCGAAATGAAACAGTATAAATAATACACAAACAATATAAATAATACCCAATCAGTATAAATATTACATACAAACAGTATAAATAATACACAAACAATATAAAAAATACACAAACTGAATAAATAATACACAAACTATAAATAATTCATAAACTGTATAAATAATACTTAAAAGCAGCATAAGTAATACACACAAACAGTATAAATAATACACAAACAGTATAAATAATACACAAACAGTATAAATATAACACAAACTGTATAAATAACACAAACAGTATCAATAATACACAAAAGCAGTATAAATAATACACAAAAACAGTATTAATAATACACAAAGGGGGGTATAAATAATACACAAATTGTATAAATAATATCCAAAAGCAGTATAAATAATACATAAACAGTATAAATAATACACAAACAATATAAAAAATACACAAACAGAATAAATAATACAACAAACAGTATAAATATGTAGTATAAGTATTACATATAAACAGTATAAATAATACACAAACAATATAAATAATATACAAACTGAATAAATAATACACAAACTGTATAAATAATACCCAATCAGTATAAATATTACATACAAACAGTATAAATAATACACAAACTTTATAAATAATTCATAAACTGTATAAATAATACACAAACAGTATAAATAATGCACAAACAGTATAATTAATACACAAACAGTATAAATAATACACAAACTGTTTAAGTAATACACAAATAGTATAAATAATACACACAAACAGTGTAAATAATACACAAACATATAAATAATACACATACAGTATAAATATAACACAAAGTATAAAGGTATAAATAAGGTATAAATAACACAAACAGTATCAATAATACATAAAAGCAGTATAAATAATACACAAAAACAATATAAATAATACATGTCTCAGAAGTGAGTACGATAAATTCTAGCAGCATTAAAAAAATGTAGACACAAAGGTTCACAGAGAAACAAATAATCTACAATACAATTTGATAATTCAAACCTATTTTGAAAAAGAAAAACGATATACCAAAATTTTCTCGATCGAGAACTTCCATATCAGCTTACATTTTCGTACGGCAGTGCATTCTGCGATTTCGTCATATCTAAGATTATATTTTCGTAACAGTATGCTTACTGTAATGACTTTTTTAAAAAGCGCTTTGCGTTTCTGAGAAGTTCCTATAGTCGCGCATTCCTGATATGGTCCGATTCAGCAGTGCGAGATAAAGGTATTTGTTGAAAAACGACAAAGACGCGCTATTTATATTTATATCTACGTGGACATGTCAGCAGGTTTGTTGCAGGTTTCATTGAAAGATTAAAATAGAAGGTATTCGTCTTACATTGTTATTACTCGCGGGGCGATTAAATTTAATACAAAAAAGTACGTAAAGAATGTTTTAGGTTATACTCGGTGTTAACCGAACCCAGAGGCAGAAAAGGTGGTGGCGGTGATCGTTGTACACATTTGTTGTATAGTTTATCTCTGTATGCGCTGCTATAAGGTCGTAAAACCGAAACGTTTATTAATACTTTTCTCGAACCGGGCGGGCAGCTTCCTGCCTTACCGACTGGAAAGACCGCGACCGTCAGCGACCCTGCTTCGCGTATAAATCCCGGCAATTAGGAGGTAATTAAAACATAATTTTACGGACGCAATTCGCGCATCAAAATTAATTCGTATTAAAATATTCATCGGCCTAGGCTGTAAAATGTCTAATTTACTACGAGACGTTTCCAGCAGACATCTGGCGGACATAAATCGCACCACCGCGTCTAAAAATCCGCCGCGCTGGGAGTTTTCCCAAATAAATCACGTTGGGAGTTCGTTTGATCGGTAATAAGTCGCTCGATATATCCCGACTTGCTCCTAGTTGGCCGCTGTGGCATCGCTTTTTGTACCGGCTAGAAAAATAGTTGTAGATGTGGTAAAAATGTCAATAAAACCGATATTTTTCCTCAAATTCAATCCTCGCAAGTATGCCGCTTAAATTAACAAGGCCACAGCGCTTCTTGCGTGACGTCACTTTAGTAGTGATATACAGGGTCGGAAAGTCCCCATGGTTCATCGGCCGTTACGTGAGAGCGATAAAGTAAGTCATAGAAATCCGTGCGATAGAGAAAGATGGCTCTAATGAAAGCGTCTAATAGTCACTGCCCATTTCGCCCTTCCACAAATAAGAAGTGGATCATGGGGACTTTCCGACCCTGTATATGTCACTAGATAAAGCAATACTTTGAAACGGCATGTTTTTTATGTATAAAAAATTAAAAGGTGAAAAGTACTCCAAAAAATAATGAAAATAATTCCATATGAACATACGTCCGGAAAAGCATCTTTTTTAAAATACCGGATGTTAAACTCTTCGTAGAAAAATCAACTCAAATTTGATGCAGGGTGTTCCTATGAATTCGTTTTTATTTTATGCAGAACTGCGTAAATGTATAGTCAGTAACCGACTATAGTCTGTATAGTTTATCACTACAGAAAGTTGAAAAGATTTATTAAACGTAAGTTCAATAGAAAAAATCCTTGAGAACTTGCTCTAAATTGATTCAAACAGTAAGAAAGCTAACCAAAATTGTCACGAGTTTCATAAGCATCCCTAAAAAAGTTTTCTGTTAAAGGTAAAAAATTATAATAATTTGTATATAATGTGTAGAAAACTTCTATTATATGTTCATTTGGCCAACAGCATATTTTAATTATTTATATCCTCAAACAATTTTATTATATTTATGGTAAATTTCGTTTTGTTCCGTTCCAAAAGGTCTCCAAAATGCCATGTTGTAATAATATTAGTAAATAAAATATCCCTCTTATTTCTCCCTTTCGCAATTGTAATATGAACGATTAATAGTTGGTGCCTATAATAAATTAAAATTACCTGAATCACACCAAATTCCGCATTGCTGCACTGCACTGCTAGTCAATTTGTCAACAACTGAGATTTATTGCCCAATCGCCCAGTGCGGCTGTTTTACACGCCGTTTGCACGCACTTCGAATGGGCGTATACATTTCTACCACATCCACGTTTAGTTCGACCAAACCTGTATATGGGTTTGGCTAAATAAATATGGGGACAACTTTTTCAAATATTTCAATGCCGAGTTGTTGCGTCAGCAACCGAACCTGGTACATACTGACAATCTCTTGGTTCTTCAATTGAGATCGGAGAGACTATAACAAAGAAACCCACAAAAGTTCGTTTTTTAACCCAAACCTCTATAAAATAAGTTCAAATTAGTTGTCCCTCTGAAGCAACACATCTAGAGGGACTTGGAAAAGGAAAAATAAACATCACACCTTCAGAAACAAACAAAAAAAAACAAAGGTGCGTTGGCATGGCGCCCAACGTGGAGCTAGTCTGAACAGAAATAAAAGACAGCTCGAAACCAGTTGTTGATAGTCTGTCATTTGTGCTTTACAACATAATAAAAGCCTTCATAAATCATTAATTAATTAACTTTAATTTTCACAAGATTCTGTTCAATGAGCGATCGCGTTTTCTCGTGCGTAGACGTAACGGTTTGTCGTTGTTCATTGTAAAGGAATCGTGAATATTAGTGCCGCCAAAATTTACGGATTTTTAGTTACTAGTACCAGTCCTGTAATGATGGTTGCCTAAACTCGGCATCCGCGGACCAATTCTAGGGGAATATAGTGGAACACCCTGTATATCTTACTTTTTACGCGGATTAACTCGGGGTGTGCGTCGACGTTTTCGCATTTTTAACGGACGCTTAATAAAGTGTCAACATTTTGGGAAGGACCTTAATTGCGTCCTTTTGGGACATATCCGGGACGGGGTCGTGTCGACCCTCCCAACGCCGCGCGACCCTTGTCTGGAAGCGGCTAATTAATTACACGTTTTCGAATTTGTTTTAAACATGGAAAAGTTCTTAGTCCCGCGATTTATGGCCTTATTTATTTCCGGGAGCGTATATTTTTGCTCGTACGGCGGGGTGGGATGTTACGTTTGTACGGTATGCGGGGTAGTTTTACTTTTCGTTAAAAAAGTGATCGGTCGTGTTCGTTATGCGGCGGTAACGGCACTGACAAATGTGGATTAAGAGACTTTTTGTGCTGCCGCTTTGGAAAGTGTCTGTTTTCGATGTTTTAATTG